ACAATGGCGATGACCAAAACAAGGAAAAAAATCAAGAGGAGAAAGGAGAGGAACAAAACAAGGAAAGCAGTGAAGAGGACAGTGACACCAATGAGGAAGACAGCAGTGAAGAGGACGACGACGAGGGCAATGGCGATGACCAAAACAAGGAAAAAAATCAAGAGGAGAAAGGAGAGGAACAAAACAAGGAAAGCATTGAAGAGGACAAAGGGAACGATGAGGAAGACAGCAGTGAAGAGGACGACGACGAGGGCAATGGCGATGACCAAAACAAGGAAAAAAATCAAGTGGAGAAAGGAGAGGAACAAAACAAGGAAAGCATTGAAGAGGACAAAGGGACCGATGAGGAAGACAGCAGTGAAGAGGACGACGAGGGCAATGGCGATGACCAAAACAAGGGAAAAAATCAAGAGGTCAAAGGGACCAATGAGGAAGACAGCAGTGACTCTAGCGAGGACAATGAAGATGAGCAAATCCAGGAAAACAAAGACGAGGACGAGAACACTAACGAGAAAGATGGGCAGTGAAGATGAGCCAACCAAAGTCCTTAGTACTTAGCTATGTGTGTTTGCTTTTGTGCTTGTATGTTTTCCAATTAGAATATTATGATGCACCAGTGTGGGCTACATGCATCTAAACTTAAGCATTAATTAGACAAATTTAATCGTGTTATGGATGTTTGTTTTATAAGACAAATGTAAAGCTTTGACTGCTTTTTACTTTTTGTTAACAGGGTATCTCATCTGATATGATGTACAGTTACTAGAGAAGGATCTATGTAATGCTCGTGTCAAGCTTCAAAGAACATTATGACTCATCTTTTCATAAGCTTGTAGTTTTCACAAACAGTATATTATGTTACTTGCACCATTATAATAAGTACAAGGGTTAGTTGTACAGGTGCATGTCTGTGCAGACTATTTCTGGAAATCTCACGGCCAATTCTGGAAATCCCACGGCCGTGAAAGAAGACGTGGTTTTGGATATGTAATTCATGAAATATCACGGCCGTGAGATAGCCCGTGAGATAGGCCGTGGATGTAAAAACGCACTTCTCAGTTTCCCAGAGGGTTTCACGGGTTGCCGTCGACATTATCACGGCCGTGAGATGAGCCGTGTTTTGGAATTGAATGCTGTACCTCTCACGGCTCATCTGTTAATTCTCACGGGCGTGAGAATAAGCCGTGTGATTGTCTGGAGATAGGAAAACTACTTTTGCTTTTCACGGGTCATGTCACGGCCGTGAGATAAGCCGTGTTTCCTCAAAATTGTACCTACACTTTCTAGAGTTGTACCTTTACACTAAATTTAAAGTTGTACCTACACTTTCCTAAAAATTGTACCTATACACTATAGTACAACTTAATGTTGTACCTACACTTTCTAACAAATCCCTCTATGGTACAACTCAAAATTGTACTTATACTAATGGTACAACTTTTAGTTGTACCTACACTTTCTCAAAATCCTTCTATGGTACAACCCAAACTTGTACCTATACCATGGTACAACTTTAAGTTGTACCTACACTTTCTAAAAATCGGTCTATGGTACAACCCAAACTTGTACCTATACCTTGGTACAACTTTAAGTTGTACCTACACTTTTTCAAAATCCTTCTATGGTACAACCCAAACTTGTACCTATACTAATGGTACAACCTTAAGTTGTACCTACACTTTCTCAAAATTCTTTTATGGTACAACTCAAAATTGTACCTATACTAATGGTACAACTTTTAGTTGTACCTACACTTTCTAATAAATCCCTTTATGGTACAACTCAAAATTGTACCTATACTAATGGTACAACTTTTAGTTGTACCTACACTTTCTAATAAATCCCTTTATGGTACAACTCAAAATTGTACCTATACTAATGGTACAACTTTAAGTTGTACCTACACTTTCTAATAAATCCCTTTATGGTACAACTCAAAATTGTACCTATACTAATGGTACAACCTTAAGTTGTACCTACACTTTTTCAAAATCCTTCTATGGTACAACCCAAACTTGTACCTATACTATGGTACAACTTTATGTTGTACCTACACTTTCTAACAAATCCCTTTAAGGTACAACTAAAAATTGTACCTATACGAATGGTACAACCTTAAGTTGTACCTACACTTTCTAACAAATCCCTTTATGGTACAACTAAAAATTGTACCTATACTAATGGTACAACCTTAAGTTGTACCTACACTTTTTCAAAATCCTTCTATGGTACAACCCAAACTTGTACCTATAATATGGTACAATTTTAAGTTGTACCTACACTTTCTCAAAATTCTTTTATGGTACAACTCAAAATTGTACCTATACTAATGGTACAAATTTAAGTTGTACCTACACTTTCTAATAAATCCCTTTATGGTACAACTCAAAATTGTACCTATACTAATGGTACAACTTTAAGTTGTACCTACACTTTCTAATAAATCTCTTTATGGTACAACTCAAAATTGTACCTATACTAATGGTACAACTTTAAGTTGTACCTACACTTTCTAAAAATCCTTCTATGGTACAACCCAAAATTGTACCTATACCATGGTACAAATTTAAGTTGTACCTACACTTTCTAACAAATCCCTTATGGTACAACTAAAAATTGTACCTATACTAATGGTACAACCTTAAGTTGTACCTACACTTTCTCAAAATTCTTTAATGGTACAACCCAAACTTGTACCTATAACATGGTACAATTTTAAGTTGTACCTACACTTTCTAATAAATCCCTTCATGGTACAACTCAAAATTGTACCTATACTAATGGTACAACTTTAAGTTGTACCTACACTTTGTGAAACAAATTCTTCAATGGTACAGCTGAAACTTGTACCTATACTAATGGTACAACTTTAAGTTGTACCTACACTTGTATACACTGATTCATTATTTACAAGATTGCCATTAATGATGTGGGACCAGTCATTTAGTGGGTTTACCTCCTCAATAGGTCACCTTTTTTTTTGTTTTTTATAGCATGGGTGCTATAGAGCACACTAGAAGGGCTCGTCACCTCAGCCGTCTGGCGAGAAGTTCCATTTCTTTTATCTTTGGGGCGACTTTTCTTTCATGTTTGGACGTGAAATGCAGGATTGAAGATTTAACATGAAAGTGGTGGTAAGTTGTGCGGTGTAAATTCAAACTGGGTTACTAATATTTACTCATTGTCCAGGAATTATTTAGTTTTAACACACTTAAACAATGATTCAACTCAAACGCTTTGCATGTAATTAGGTGCAGTTAATTACTTCAGTTCTGACTAGCCTTCTGCAGTACAGAATGAACCTTTTCCTACATTACATACAATTATACTCAAAATAAATATTGGGAACATCACAATGTCTATAATAATTTAACTACATTTTTCATATTATAGTTTGCTCTTGATTTCTAACGAGGCAACCTGCTACGAGGCAAGTATGAATTATCGAGATACTCACCCGAACTGGCCATTGCAATTCCAACCTGTACACGTGCCAGTTTCGTGATAAGAATTTGCATATTCATGACCATATTTGTTATTTTAAAAATTTTGGGCTATTTTTCTCCAAAATGTCAAAATTTGGGTCATATTAAGGTATTTTGGCATAGTAGTTTAGCGAGGGAAAAATCAAATACAGCTAAAAGTCTTCCAATCACCGATGCTAAGAGTTCAACCGGGATGGTGATTGGAGTGGCCGGAAGGGAACGGAAAGATCAAAGCAAGAGAACCATTGCCGCCGACCATGGTGAGGTGTTCTTTCAAAGCTTTCCATAATATTGTGGCGTTGGGATTTCAACGATTTTCGAGCTTTTATATGGCTTCCTTTTCTCTGTAGACGAAACCCTAGAAGTTCAGTGTCTTCGCATTTCTTCGTTGTAAACCACTATCTACCACCCACTTTATTTTGCTGACGATTTGTTAATATTTACAAATGTTTCTATTAGAGTAGTGACTGGATTCAAAGGCTATTGGATGAGTATTGCAGTTTGTCAGGACTAAGATGCAACCATTCGAAATGTCAGCTCTTTTGTACAAGCATCTCTCGAGCACTTCTACTATGTTATATAGCATTGATGCTTTAATGTACAACTTGAAGTTGTACCATAATATTAAATATATAAGTTAAAAGGGATTTGTATCATTATGTTATGGTACAACTTTACACCTTGAAGTTGTACCATCACATAAGGTAAAAGTTTAAGTTGTACCATAAAAGAATTTATACAAAAAGTATAGGTACAATCTGAAGTTGTACCTTAACGTTAAAGGTACAATTTCAAGTTATATCATAAAGGTAAAAACCTATAGCACCAATGCTATATAGCATTGTAAAATTCCTCAACATCCCTCTGGTAGAAATGAGGTGATATCTAATTTATATACTGGTTTTCCTCTTGGAGAGCTGCCAGTCATATACTTGGATATACCATTGCTAACATGCAAACTATCTCGTAAGGATTGTAAAGTTCTAGCCAATAAGATTACGCACAGAGTACAGAGTTGGACGACAAGTTCATTAAGCTTTGCAGGTAATTAGGTGCAGTTAATTACTTCAGTTCTGACTAGCTCTCTGCAGTATTGGATGAACCTTTTCCTGCTTCCCAAATTTGCTATCTATCACATCATACATTTTTCAATAATGTTATTGATGTGGCATATATTTTTAATAATTTTTACCTATATAAATGAAAAATTGGGTGGAGGACCAAATGAAAAATATGACAAATTAGGTACTTTATAGATTAAATTTCATTTAATTTAATTCTTCATCTTATCGTTGAGTAACGGTCAAATTTGACACAATTAACAAATTTATGAGCGACCCAAAATATAAGTGTAGTTTATGTAATTAACCCTTATGTATATATATAGTAAAAGTAAAATAATAACATGACTTCAAAGGGTCGATGTTTGTACCATAAATATGAGAAAAGCAGTACAAATTATACTAATTTGACGGGAACAAGTATAGATATATTTCGTAATAGTTATTGTATTCTTCGAGCGTTTGTTTGCATTATTGTAAATCGATTATAGTTGAAACTTGAAACATGAAATTCTTTATTAATCCTTCCTCCTTGATCCAGTGACCAGCGCAAAATGAAATCCAACCCATAATCCTCATCGCCATAAGTCTTAATTTGTTTGTTACTCTTTTGTTTTGCTGGCGGGCGAAATTTTTTCTTCCTTGTCTGATTTCTTCCCTGTAAGTACAATGAAGAAACAAATTAATTAATAACAAAAAACGTAGAGTCGAACTAAGAACGTAAAAATATTATAAGGATTGGAGTCACCCATTAGCATATGTACGCTGATTCTACAAAACAAAACATCTGATTGATATAAAAACGAAATCACATGAGAGATCGGGGACCTCAAATTCCTGGGAATCTTACAACTTATCTTCTATATATATAAAATGTAGCAAATAAAAAATAATGAAAATTTGAGCTCAAAGTTAAATGAAATAAGTGTCTATTGTTCGTTGTTTGTGACCCTTCACTCTTTCCTTCTCTTCTTTTTTCATTCTTTTTGTTTGGCCGACCCTCACCATTATAAAAAAAATTATGGACATGATGATGAATTTAATTATATTAAATTATTAATTAATATTAATTTTAATTATTAGTTAATATTATCATGTATATATACACTAGATATATACTTATATTGATTTTTAAGGGATTGTTTGTGTTACAAAAATCCTATTTGTATTAAAAAATAGTACAAGAAAATCTTAATAAAATAGCTAGGATAACAATTGAAAATCAGATATTCAGATGAAGAATATGAAAATTAGAGAGATAACAGATAATCTTATTTTAAACAATCTTAGAAAGATATTACATTTCAATTAATGATGAATTGATGATATAATCATTTTAATTTTATTATTATACTTAAAAGTCAACCATAACTCAATTTTGGAAAAAGACCTCCACGTCTCATTGAACTCTTAGCATATTTCAGAGTATGTATGTAAAATAGTCGTAATTGTTCATGTATATACAACACTGACCATAGAGGGGACTGGCGGCGGTTCCGTTAGTCGCCGGCAAGTTCTCCTCCGTCATTTCCACCTCCGAGCAACATTTGACGCATTTGACAAAAATTTTATAGCAACAACCTCTGTTACAGCTCTCATCACTTGAAGAGTGCACTCCTCTCCCTGCAGTGTTGGTAGGGTAGGGGGCAAATTTATTGGCATCTGAATAGTATATTCTTGTTTATGCTTCAATGGCAATAATCTCGACACAAAAATTACATTGAATTTGAGACTAGAATCTAATCCAAACTAAGAGTGTATCGTTTCAATTTTCATCTACATGATAACCGTAAAATATGTGAATCATTAGTATATAAAACGTAACTCCTCCTCTGATGGACATAAACAATGAGTTTGAAAATAAAAATAAAAATAAAAAGATAGGAGCTAGATAGACTTGCCTTGAGAAAGAAGCAACTTCCTGTTGGTGGCGGTGATCATCGTCATCGACCCATCGCTCTGATGGAGAGATGCATCTAAAACATTGATGGAAGCAAAAGCACAAACAAGAGCCAGAAAGAGGAAAATAGGCTTGAATTCCATTGCTTTGTATAGAAGTAATTAAGTAGCTTGTATAGAAATGACCCACACGATGTATATAATGGTTCTAGGTGAGGGTGAGTGTTCCCTTGAGATGAAACCATTATTTATACTAGTGTGTTTGGGGATACATTTAGAAGAGAGTGGGGTAAGTAATTCAACTTCTTTTTAATTTATATAAATACGTGGAGTTTCTATCATAGGATAAAGTTAATGACGCTCTATACATTTAGTAAAATAAAAACTATCTAGACTTTGAATTAATCGGATTTGGGAGCAAGAAGTAAGTAAACCCGAAGTCTTGTTTATCTAAATGCTAAACCTTAAACCCTAATATAGTGGATCTAGTGTGTTGGTTGTATAAAGAACCATTAATGGTGATATGATTTAGAGAATTATAGGATGATGAGGACTTTACTCATTAGGCTTTAGGGTATAAAATCATGCTCCAAATTCTGATTTAGAGAATTAGGATGAGGACTTTACTCATTAAGCTTTAGATAAAATCATGCCCCAAATTCTAATTAGTTTTTAATCTACGTATTATTTTCGTACTAAGGGTTCGTATGTTATACCCTTAGATTACACTTACGATATATTATTCAAAGTATTTTTGGATAAATTCAAGGTTGATCATTTATAGGTAAAGCCTTTTATCATACTAGTCACAGGCCCGGCCAGTTGGCCGATTTAGTTTTCAATCACGAAAATAACAATAGCAATATGTACTCGAGTTACGCAGTAGTATAAAATATCTAAGTTTTTCAAATAATCAAAATATTCAAATCTATTGGGAGAATAAGAGAATTCAAATTATTAAAATAGTTCAACAATTCAAAATGATCAACATTGTATGTTTTCAAATATTTTAATGACTAATCAACTAAAATAAATTTTTAAACAATTAAAGAAAAACCTCATGCAAGGGAACCGACTCCTAAAGACAAATTAAAAGGACACTCTCATTACTCCTCATCATCAGAGATTACTACATGTTTTCTTTTTGCCTTGTTTGCATTTTCTCAGACATGAGAAATCACCTCATCGTCACAATTAATAATGTCGTCATCTCCATTAGCAACATATTTATCTCTACTATCGATTGACTCTTCCTTGTTCTCTTACATTTGAGTTAGCTCTTGTTTTCATGCATTTCATTGAGGACAAAAATTTGATGATAAAATATATTTACAAATACCAGTCATCTTTTTCACTCGAGTAGAATATACCTCGTCCAAGTTACGAACAATACGCCGGATTTTTTCTAACTCCCCATCACCAGCCTTTATATCTTCCTCAATATATTGTAGATAAATTTGTAGTCTGCGGGTACAATTAATTGGAAGTCAATGAGAAGGATGCAAAGTTCCCAATGAATATCAAGATTCGAAATTCAAAATTCACTATATTTCCAAACAGGTAGTCAAATAAATAAAGGGTATTCTTCACCTTTTAATTGGAGGCTGAATTATTTAAATATAATCCATCCAAACTAATTTTGTTCATTAAAACATCAGCTCCCTTCAACTGCCCATTGGAGTTATCAATAAGATTATATAATGTAACTAAGTAGGACCCGTACATGGTATAAAAATCTAAATCCAATAGAGAATGACACAAATTTGTAATTAATATTGCTCATTATTTTGATTCAAATAGAATTTACCTAGATCAAGTCTGGAAGATCGTCGGTGGTTTGCTCTTCCTCATCCTTCCATATCTTGATAATTGCGCACTCACTTGTTGGATTAGCAATGTTGCAATCTGTGAGCTTGATGTAAAACTTCAACGTCATTCCCACAATTTGTAGAAGATGAGCATGTGGTAGTCTTCTACTTCTATCATTGTCTTGGAATAGCAGCCGACATTCCAAAAAATTGAGCTCCCACTCAAAGGTTGATCCTGATTTTGTATAATGATGATAATGACATAAAAATATGTAAATTGTTGAAGTACACGTTATTTTTAGGTCGTAAATGCAAAATCTAAAAAATATTCAATCAATAATACAAAAATTGTCTCATAAGGTAAGACATGTGGGTAGAAGATGAAAAACATAGCCTCATGTCCATTTTTAATCTAAGAAATCAATATCATGGAATCTCTTTATTTTAACCATATTTAATTTATTTCATATGCATGTAAGCTTTCCACTTGTATCACTACCATGCATTGCTAATTATTAAGGGAAAGGTTCTTTTTGATGCATTAGTAATTTAATCTTTGAATTTTATGAAAAATCATATAAATTATGTTTTAAAAAATTAAATATTCAATCACTTGGCATGTATATCCATCAACAAACTATAACAAATAAAATTCCATGTTAATAATGATTTGCATTACCTTGATGTTGTCATTTTTTATGTCGTTGTACAATTCCCACAGAAGTACTCGTCAGAGTCTTCTTATAGCTTTTGTGGGCAGGTTCCGCATCCAGCATAGCACCAGTACCCATTCCTAATCCTGAAAACTTTGCATTTGAAGGAATATATATTTTCCTACATATTACTGAAAGTGTTAGTATTTGATAGTTAATGGGTTGTTGAATCGAAGGTGATGCTTACCTCTTCTCCATCTTTCAATTTAATTGATTGAGCTAATGTAGTGTTTTTGTTGGGATTGGTTGTATAGGTTTTCCCGTGCTTTTCACAGGAGGAATAGGTGCATCATCGTCACTTTATCCACACAAAAAATGTTAATTAATCTCTATTTGTTCTTTGAAGCTCAAACTTATAACACATAAATAAATACGAAGATTAAATTGTTGTGAATTTCACCTTGACCCAAAATTAATGACTATAAGAGCAGATACCGTAAATTTCATGGACTTGGTGAATCATATTGAAAAAGAACATGATTTCTAGTAATGATAACTATCCACTTATAGGTAATTTTATCCAAACACATTGATTATGATAGTATTTGGGATAAAGTTTATATGAATTTGAATATCATTCGAATAGACTTTATAGGGTACGGGTATTGCTATTACATTCTATTTGGGTATGAGTTTACCCATTTATATGAGTATGTTTGAACTCCATATGCTCAATTTGACCGATTTGTAAAACTTAAAAAGTTTAGGTATAAAATTGTAAGGATGAAAATTTTACGTACGAAATGAATTTTTTCATTGATTTCTAGGACTTCTAAGCCTAAAATTAATTTAAGGTACTATATTTTGAAATATTATAGGTACCAAAATCTTGATTTTATATGGTTATGGGTATTAACCCAAATCCATAATTTAAAAGTCTGAACCAACCCAAATAAGTGGATATGTGTATAAAACTATAAATATGTACACAATTACCTTGTATTTTAGTTTCATATCCAACTCAATTTAATTGAATTGAAGCTGATGCTTACCTCTTCTCCATCTTGCATTTTAATTGATTGAGCTCATGTAGTGTTTTGGTTGGGATTTGCTGTTGAGGTTTTCCTATGCTTTTCATTGGAGGAATTGGTGCATCTTCGTCACCTTATCCACCAAAAAAGAGTGTTAATTAATCTCTATTTGTTCTTTGAAGTTCCAACTTATAACGCATAAACAAATACGAAGATTAAATTGTTGTGAATTTCACATTGAGCCAAAATTAATGACTCGTAAGGGCCCTGTTTACTGAGCTAAATGCCTATGTAAAAGTTACACCTGTATAGACTATAAGAGCCCATACCGTAAATTGCGTGGATTTGGTGAATCATATTGAAAAGAGCATGATTTCTAGTAATGATAACTATCTACTTATATGTAATTTTATCCAAACATATTGATTATGGTAGCATTTGGGGTGAAGTTTATATGAATTTGAATATCATTTTTTTTTACAAAGGAATTTGAATATCTTTGGAATAGACTTTATAGGGTACTTGCATTGCTATTGTATTCTATTTGTTTATGAGTTTACTCATTTATATGAGTATGTTTAAACTACAAATACGCAATTAGACTGATTTGTAAATTTTACAAAATTTAAGTATGAAAATTTTACGTACGAATGAATTGTTTCAATGATTTCTATGACTTTTATGCCTAAAACTAATTTCAGGTACTATATTTTAAAATATAAAAGGTACCAAAATCTTGATTTCATATGGTAATGGGTACTAACTTAAATTCATAATTTAAAAATTGGAATAAACTCAAATAAGTGAGTATGTGTATAAAACTATAAATATATACACAATTGCCTTGTATTTAAGTTTCATACCCAACTCAATTGGATTGAACCGAAGTTGATGCTTTCTCCATCTTTCATCTTAATTGATTGAGCTCATGTAGTGTTTTGGTTGGGATTGGTTGTTAAGGCTTTCCTGTGCTTTTCATTGGAGGAATTGGTATATCGTCGTCACTTATAGGTAATTTTATCCAAATACATTGATTATGGTAACGTTTGGGGTGAAGTTTATATGAAAATATTGTTGGAATAGATTTTATAGGATGCAGACATTGCTATTATATTCTATTTGGGTATGAGTTTACCCATTATATGAGTATGTTTAAACTACATATATGTAATTTGACCGATTTATAAAACTTAAAAAGTTTAGGTATAAACT